TAAATCACCTATAATACTGTTACAACTCGACTGTTCGTTTATATTCAGGCACGGCCAGAGGATTTCGGTTACTCAGGAATCAGAGGTCTTTTTTACCTAGGTGTATTGCATTTTCGTATCGCATGTTTTTCATGTACTTTTGAAATGTGATATATAGACATGAGTCATCAACTCGAAGCAATTTCAGGTATTTATATCCGTCTTACAATTTTATGGTAGATTAGAATTCGTTTGGAAAAATTGAGGATTTCTGCTTTAGTAAATGAGATCTTGGTGTGCAACGACAATATCTCGTGAAAAATCGCATCAAAGCACGTCTCCCCTCCCCCTCCCAGTCACATACTAACCGTTGGATAGTTGACAACCATGGCATTGACAACTGTTAGCCTATTTCCCAAGGTGGAAAATTGAATAAAGCAATTATTCCCTTCGCGCATGTTGGATATGAGATTAATTATAACCAGCTCGGCGTTACACGCCTCCCTGGCTATTTAACATCTCGTGTTCAACGCACGCTCATGGAATAATTGTGCGACAATCAGTGAGGAAAGAGCTTTCTAAGTCTACGACTAGGGTTCCCTTTCTACTTTAACAAGCTAAAAAAGGCTTTGGAAGATACAGCCTGATCTTTTTTTTGTACACAAGATGTCATCATACCTGGATTAAATTAGCAATGAATGTTTCTCGTTCTAACGAATCCATAAATTCAAGGCGTAAGAAGTAGTGGGAGAGATGTGGGCTTCATTTCCAAAATCAAGCTCCTCCCCACTACCACTCCATTCTTCAAATCCTCCGTAGTTATTCTCAGTGATCCCAATACCATGATCCGCTCGGTTGCATCCACTTCCTCCTCCTCCAAACATCATAACTGAACCATCGCCTGTATCCCACTGACACCAGAATCCAATGCGGTAGCTTCCTTGAATATTGCCACTGCAGTGTGCTTGACTAAATCCAACAGTGGTCTGGTACAATCCACCATAATGCACTGGGCAGCTACCAAGACACTGATTATCGGACCAAACGTTACGGTAACTAAACTTCCCATAAGCGGACATGAATCCTCTGAATGTTTTTCCACCAAAGCAGTTGTTATATGTACGAAGAAGAGCAGAGTGAGCGCTATCGTCACTGCGTGTGATTTTAATCTCGCTTCCCTGCACCCTCCAGAATGCTTCTGAGATCATGTCAAAGTTAGTGGATGTACTTGTAAGGGACCCTTGGGAGGACTGAATATCGTACCACCAGTAAGCGTCATCTCTCATCCAATTTTTTCCGTCAACATTAGAAAACCGAGCAATGAGTGTCCATCCACCTGAGTTTCCCGACATGTCGCAATAAACCTGGAAGAAAGCGAAAGGTTATGACCAGCTTATGACCCTACAGATATTTGATTTTCAACATATGATGGGAAACAGAAGAGCTGAAAATCATTAAAATGCTGTTTTTCAGGAAATATGTTTGATATGCGATAAAATGACAACTGCAAATTGTTGTGGGTAACATTACCCAGTTCTAATTACAAGGATCGCTTTAGGATATAGTTTTATGGTTAGGAATTTCTTTTGGAGTTTGTGCGTGAATCAATGCTCTAAACCATTTAAGGCATACGTGTAAAACCTAAACAAAACAAAACCAAAAAAAAAAGACATTAATCGCAAACACAACTGAAACCTCTTCTACGATGCTAAAACAATGAATATATTACCTACTCGATATATCATAATTTGAAAGCAATCGAAAGAGAGTGAAAATGAAAGTTTTACTGGGAAAGAAGGAATCCAAAAACACTTGGAATGTAGAGCGGCTTATGGTAGTGTCGTGCACAAGAAAGAGAGGACTCAAAAACCCTAGAGCGTCCTACCCGACTTCATACTGGCCAAAACGTTTGCCTTACATTTCTATTCTCAACCCTACTGTCTATCGCTATGACAAAAATGTGTTTTGGTAGATAGATAGCCTTAGGCGACCAAAATATACCAATTCTAATTAAACACCGTGTCATACAAAGCAGTCGACGAAAGGAACCAGAGGAACTGAACATCTTCACTTAACAAGGGGAAGCTGAGTGTTCGAAAACATGTGTCTCGAACATCACGCAACTTAAGATGTGGCGCCTGAATTATCCGGAAACACTCTCGGCACAACGCAGGTCAGAATAATAGACCTCATGTCCGTTTTGCCATTTCATCTTAAATTTGCGT